ATCCGCACTCCGCACTCCTCCTGCTCCTCCTCCTGTTGCTCCTCCTCATCATCCGCCCTCTCCTCTCCTTCCCCTCCCCCTTCCCCTCCTCCTTCCCTCCTCCTTCCTCCCCTCCCTCCTCCTTCCTCCCCCTCCGCCTTCCCTCCTCCCCCTCCTCCTTCCTCCCCCCCCCGCGGCGGGCGCGTGTTCGCCCGCGCCGCCCAGGGCACTATGGTCGGGCGCCGGTCGACACCTCCGCCAGCCCTCTCAGAGGGCGCGGCACCCCCGGGGGTGGCCGGCTGCCTCAGACAGCGGCCACTCCCAGGGGGGGAGGGGTCGACCGGCCAGGGCCTGCTCCCCCTTTCCTCCTCGTCCTCCTCCCTGCGCCTTCTTCCTCGCTCTCCCCCCACCCCTCCCGCTGACCTCCTCCTGTTCCGCCTTCCGTAGTCCTCCTGCTCCCCTTTTTGCTCCACCTCATCGTCCGCCTCCTCCTCTCCTTTCTCCTCGCCCCCCCTCCTTCCTCCCCCTCCCCTGTTCCTCCTCGTCCTCCTCCCTGCGCCTTCTTCCTTGCTCTCCTTTCCTTCCCTTCTTCCCTCCCCCCTACCGCTGACCCTGCCCCCTCTAATTTTTAGTCGGGCACGTCTCTCTACAGGGAAAAAATTGCGACAAGAATAGTACGGGGACGATTTTTTGAGTATTCAGGGTCATTTGTGGTTGACTTTTTGACGACTTTTTTAATTTGTCGTCCAAAATCCGCCTGCAGGGGGGCACGCCCGACCTGACTCTGATGGGGGGGGGCGAGCGATCGGGGCCCCCTCTCGCCGAGCCGACTTCAAGGGGGGCGCGGAGTCCCGCGGACTGCATGGGCCCCAGGGTTTATCGGGGGCGGCCAAGAAGGACGGTGAAGACTGGGGGGGGTGGATCTTATAGCGTGGGCAATGAGATCTCCCCAGATTTCATGGCGCCAATTCTTATTGCATTACGTCCCCGGCCCCCCCCCCTCGGCCGCGCACATGCCGCCGGCCATGATTTGCGCCCCCCCCTGGACGCCCTCCTCTTGGCCGCCCCCGAGTTTAAGTCGGGCATGTCCCTCTACAGGAGGAATCTTCAAGTATTCTTCTAGAGAGACAGTCAGGGGACGACTTGTCGACGATTTTTGGCCATGTTGAGTACTTTTTGATGTTTTTTTATTTATCCTTCAAAATCTGCCTGTAGGGGGACAAGCCCGACCTGACCCAGGGTTCCTGCCACAGGGTTCCTCTCGGTGCGATCGATCCGACTCGATGTCTGCTTCGATCGGGGGTGGACAGAGTCCCCACCCTGACACGTCGATTAGTGAAACTTGTCCGCTTTCGGTCCGCGAGAGGGCGCCGCGGCCGTCGTTTTCCAGGCTTGCGCCCGCCAGGTTGGGCCCGAGGTCGTTTTTACTAAGCCACGTTTTACTAAAGGGGGTTCTGTCCATCCCCGATTCGATAGGCTTCAAACTACTATCACATGGTGCATTTCAGTGGCTAACCTGATCCGATTCGACGCCGATGCTCCCATGATGCGATGCGGCCCGATGCTTGCGTGGCGTTGTTGCGCATCCTGGCGCGGCCGATTCGGTTTGATTCCGATTCCGTGCCGATGTGGCCCGATTCGATGCACGTTCCGATCCTGTCCGATTTGTCGATTCGATGGTGACCGTGCCTGCTGGCATCGGAGGAGGGCCGTTTTCGAGAGGTTCGCAGATGTTTTCGGCAGGGTCGCTGGTGTTTGCGGACGGCTTTCGTATGCCTTGCTGCGTTCTAGAAGGTCCTCGGCACCCAGGATGGTTTTCCACCGGCTGTGCCTTGTCACGGGCGTTCCCGGGATGCCGCACTCGTCACGAGCGGCCGCCCGAGGCCTGCGCTCAGGGGAACGAAGAATGACATGAACACAAAAACTCGGACCTTCGAGTTTGTGTGTTTATGTCACCATTCTTCGTTCCCCTAGCGTTAGCGTTAAGTCGGGCCTGTCCCTCTACAGGAGGAATGCTCAAGGGTAGTCGAAAATTACTCGGGGGATGTTTTTTTGGGAGTGTTCTTGGCCATGTTTGAATCTTTTGGGGCTCTGTTTTTGATCTTTCGTCCGACATCCGCCTGTAGGGGGACACGCCCGACCTGGCGGCAGCGCCCGAGAAAAGCGGTCGGCGGAGGCTCTGCGCGGTCGAGGCGACGGCGGCCCCCGCGCCCACAGCGCCTGCTTCGTCCTGCACGGGCGGGCCTTGCCGCAGAGGTCTCGCGGCCTCGCCACGGCGGGGCCCGCCCCCCCGGAGGACGAGCCGGGACGGGTCCCCGGGAGGGGCCTGTTGCGCTTTTGCGTCTCTCGGGGGCGGCAGGGAGGGGGGCGATGACCAGGGGGGGGGGGGGGATATCTTGGCGTGGGCCACGGCATTTTCCCAGATTTCATGGCGCCCCTGCTTATTTCATTGCGTCCCTGGCCCCCCCTTGGGCCGCGCACATGCCGCCGGCCATGATTTGCACCTCCCCCGCCTGGACGCCCCCCTCTTGGCCGCCCCCGACCCGGGAGGGGTCTGTTGCTTTGCATCTTCGGGGGACCTCGCCTGCTGTCCCTCAAAATTGGTGTCTTTTCTTGTGCCCGACGCGGGCTCGATGCGGACTCGACGCGGATTTGGCGCGGACTCGGCGCGGATTCGACTCGGATTCGACACGGGCTCGACACGGATCCGATGAGTCCGACATGGATTCGACACGGATTCGACGCGGAGAGGTACGCGACGGGACAGACAAGGTCCCCGAGGATGCAACATAAGGTGTAGGTCGGGCATGTCCCCTTACAGCCAGATTTTGGATGAAAGATAACACATTACCCCCAGCATGCCACCAAACAATACCCCAAACTGGTCAAACCATCTATCCCAGGCTATTCTTTGACTACTTTTGAATCTCCCCCCCCTGTAGAGGGACAGGCCCGACTTGACTTAAGCTCTGGGGGCCGACCTTGGCTCGCTCCGGGCCATTACCAGCCTCGAACGTATCCCTATCCCTAAGATTGACACGCCAAAAGGCGATGACAATCTTAGGGATTCGCCCTCAAAAAATAAGGGAATCCCTGAGGTCGGCATCGTGATGGGGAGGTGCCCAGGCATAGGGATAGGGATCTGTTCTGGGCTGGTAAGGCCGGGCGCGAGAGTCTCCGTGGGCTCCGCCGCGCTCGGCGGTCGTCGCGGGCGCCGGCCGCGCGAGCCTCGCCCGGCCCTCGGGGTCCGCCACGCGGTGCGGTGACCGGGCTGGCCCGAAAGGGGGTCCAGCGGCAAGGGGTCTGCCGTCGCGGGTCGGTGGAGGTTCGGCCACGCTCGCAGGGCAGCTTGGCGGGCTCAGTTGTTGCGTTCGTCGTGTGGCTTCGGGAAGATAGCCCTTGTGAGGGGCAGCGGATCGGGCGGGCTGCGCGTGGAGAGAGAGAGAGAGAGAGAAACACAAAACAAAATATTGGTGGGGTTGCAACACATTTGGGGCGTGCCAATCATTCCGGGGCGCAAAAGTGTTGCTGGATTCTCGCGTGCAGTGCATGATTTGAAATGCAATGCAATGCAACACAGTTTTCCGGCGCAGTATATGTGCAATACAATTGCCCCAAATCTATTGCACCACCCCCTTTCAGCTAGACCCCTTTGGGTCACCAAAAGGTGACCAGGACTCGGGTCGTTCTCCGAGGGCGTATCGCGCGATGGGGGCTTCCGAGGCCTCACGAGCGTTCGGTGACGGGCCGTGCGGTGACGTCTTCTTGAGGGTTCCAGGGTCACTGCACTGCGTGTCGCCGCACCGTCTGGGGACCCCCAAGGCCCCTGGACCTCTGGACCTCCTCCCCGGCCACGGCTCGTCCCTCTACAGGAGGACAATTCCCAAGCAGTCAAAAAGATAGTCTGGGCACGATTTTTGGATTGTTTTTTTTTTGGGGGGGGGGGCTACTTTTGAATAATTTGAAGATGTTTCGGATTTCTCGTCCAAAATCCGTCCGTAGGAGGACACGCCCGCCCTGACCCGAGCCGCACTTCGACGGCCCCGAGCGCCGGGCGGAGGCGGAGCACGGCAGCGAAGCCTGCCCGTCGTGGATCCCCCCCCCCCACGGCGCGAGCGCGGCTGGGCCCAATCGGCTTTTCGCCAATGGACTCTGTGAGGGTCGAGCCAGAAAGATCCAGGTGAATGCAGGCAAATCGAGATACGTCCAGGGAAATCAGCCGGGCATATCCAGGTAAATCCAGGGATCTCCAGGGAAAGTCCGAGCAAGTCGCGGCCGCTCCAGTGCGAGTCGAAGGACGGCAGAAGTCGTTAAGCCTTCAAAGACTGGGGCTGGTACCCCTCCCTCGGCGACGAGCAATGGGGGGGGGGTGGGAAGGGGCGGGCCTTCTCAGAAGGCTCGAACGTCCCCAAGCCGTCTGAGAAGCTTTCTGAGCCTTCCCCGAAGACACGGCAGAAGCCTCTCAGAAGGCGCGAGGGCTTCGGAGAGGTCACGCCGCCTCCTGAGCAGGCCTGCTCCTTCTCAGTTCCCCCCCCCCTCGCTCGCCGCCAAGGCTCAGGTTGGAGCCGGCTGAGGGTCTGCTGAGTTGGCCGAGTTCTGGCTCCGGCCAGCAGGACGGGCGGGTGGCCGAGGTTCGAGGCTCTGGATTCCAGCAGGCTGTCTGTCTCCTTCGGCCTCCGGCCGTTCTCGGGCTCCAAGCACCGTCAAGTACGGAGCCGTGGCGTCAAACTGCGCCAGCCGGACCCTGGGAGGGGTCCAGGCACAGATTCTGAGCGCATTCGGGTCCATCCTTCTCTCCTGACCGGCTTCCGGGGGTCCAAACCATGTCAGACCAAGTCAAGTCACGTCAAGTCCTGTCGAGGAGCCTAGGAGGCACCTCGCCCCGCAGGCGGCGACGGAGGGCGCGAGACACTGCGGCAACATAGGGCGAATGCAAGAGGAGAGTGGCGGCGCATAGGGCGATATCGAAGCACGTGTACTGTGCAGCAGCTATTGCCCCGCCGCTTCCAGTGGGACCCCAGGCAACGAGGTGAAGTTCCTGCTGGCCGAGCTGGGCCGGTCGGGCGACGCGGTGGGCCGGCTCACCCTGGAGGCGCCCCGCGGCGCCGCGCGGCGGCGCGAGGACAGGCCCGACTTAACCATAGGCGCGCGGAGCGCGCCTCCCTGGCGTCTCCCTGGCGCGCGGAGCGCGCCAGGGGCGGCGCCGGAGGCGCCGTCGGGGGGGTCCAGCGCGGATCCGAGGAATCCGCGCGGACCTCAGAGTTTTTATGTTTATGTCATTCTTCGTTCCCCTAGCGTTAGCGTTTAGTCGGGCCTGTCCCTCTACAGGAGGAATATTTTGAAATAGTAGAATCATAGTCTGGGGACGATCTTTCGACTATTTTTGAGTATTTCTTCGAGCATTTTTCGAATATTTGTTTCATCCCAAATCCGCCTGTAGGGGAGGACATGCCCTGCCTGATCCTATGGAAGAGCAAAGAGCTTGGCATCGCTCGGACGTGTGCAGTTTTTTCCTCGGCGAGGGCCGTCGAGGAGGATTTTTGAGCACCGAGCAGAAAAATCACGCGCGAAGCCGAACAGTGCACGAGTAATGGCCATTCCATTGCTCGGAGGTCCGCGCGGATTTCCTGGATCGGCGCTGGGCCCCCCCGGCGGCGGCGGCGCCCGCGGCTCCTCCCCTGGCGCCGCCTTTGGCGCGCTCCGCGCGCCTGGAAGGGGCGTCCAGCGCACTCCGCTCGGACCTCCGAGAAGCTATGCTTGTGCCGTTTTTGTTCTCCGAGCAGTGCTTGCGCTTGGTTTTTTTTTTTTTACTTACTCTAGGAGGAATTCGGTAGCAAATCATGGGAGCCTGGCGTACCCTGTTAGATTCGTCTTCAGCGTCGATTAGCGTCTGGGAGTCGACGGGACATCGCCGATCTAGCGTCGGCTAGCGTCGGCTAGCGTCGATTCGCGTCGATGCAGCGTCGATTGTAGCGTCGATTTAGCGTCGACGCTAGCGTCGATTCGCGAGAGCCGACAAGATGGTATGGGATGGTGGGCTTGTTTCCCACCGCCACCACCATATGTAGGAGGGGGAGGGGGTCCTCCTCCTCCTCCTCCTCCTCCTTCTCCTCCTCCTCCTTTTCTTCCTCCTCTTCTTCCTCCTCCTCCTCATCACCTTTCACCTCCTTCTCTTCCTCCAGCTTCTGGTCAAGATGGACGGGGAGGCTCCCGTGAGCTGCCACCGAGAGAGGACCTGGGGCCGGTCTGCCGCCCTGGCCGGCCCGTTGGCGCCCCGCCACCGCCGCTCGCCACCGCTCGGCGGCCGGTTCGTGGTCGCCGCTCGTCGCCGCCCCGTCGCCAGCCGCCTCGCCGCCGCGCGTCGCCGCCTCCTATAGCCACAGAGGTTCGCAGGAGGGGAAGACGCACACACAGACACAATTCATCGTCGGCTCCCCGTGGGAATATAGGAAAAGACGAACACTCAGAACATGTAGTAGAAAGTATGGGGGAGCGTGGGATTTGTGTGTGTGTGTTGATTTGTGTATCCCTGGGCCCCTTTATAATCTCCTTTCTAAAGAGGACTTATCTACCACCCCCCCATCGCAGACTTCTCGGTCCACATTGGGATCTGCAGTTTACATATGGCTATGCCCCACCTTTCACACTTTAGGTATGAATTCATACTACTCTTGCCAGGCCAGGCTCCCCCCTCATCCCTTGCAAAATGTCAAAACAACACTACGCGCGCGCACTCGTTTTTTTGTAAAAGATCGCCAGCCTTCAAGAGTCCCATGCAAAACAAAGTCCATGCGCGCGTCGTCGCGCACGCATTCCGAAATCCTTCAACAAATGTGGCCTTCGTGCAGATTTGAGAACCGCGGATCCCGAACACACACATATAGACAACCACTGGTTTGCAGCATGGGTTTTCAAAACCACTCTGCGGTCCCGCGGGGAGACGCGACGAGCCCCCGACCAGATGCGAGAGGCACCAGGAGATCTCGCCATTTGGGCTCCGGGCCTCTTCAATGTTCCTGTGTAGTGATCAGGAGGGAAAAAACACGCAGACACAATTCATCGTTGATTCCTCAGAAAGTATGGGAAATCATGGGCAGTAGGGGGAAGGCATAAACCCTGAAAATATGGGACAATATGGGGAATCCTTTTATCTGTGTGTATTTATTTGTGTGTCCCAGGGCCCCTTCATGAATGTTCCTCTGGAGTGAGGACTGAGGCTCAGTGAATTGGGCGCACGACCTGAGGACACGCCCACTCCGTGCCCAGCGGCACGGGGTCGGATACAAACGATGTGCAACAGAGAAAAGAGAGAGAGAGGGAGAGAGAGAGAGAGAGAGAGAGAGAGATTGTGAGAGAGTGAGCGAGATAGAAGGAGAGGGTGGGCGTGGAGCGCATGCGAAAATGCCAGGAATTCTACTATGTTTTTTCACTCTGCTGCCATGCTGTATTCTAACAAAGTGGGGGAGCTTCTGAGAAAAAAGGGCCCTTCTTAATTAGAAGGGCCTGTCGACTTCGAGAAGGCTTCTCAGAAGCCGCCAGGCCCTTCTAAGACGCCCTTGCCTTCTGAGAAGCGCGCCGCCGTCTTAGAAGTCCACCCCCTTAGCGCCTCCCCCTGTTGCGCGCTACCAGCTGCCGGAGCTCAGATGCGACCCCGGGCTCCTTCGAGGCGTATTCAGGTCGCCCAGGTCCCCGCTCCCTCGCTTTGTGAAACACAACACGACGGCAGGTTTCTGGCCGATTGTCGGCCTCTTAAGCACCTTACTGGGCCCCTGAATGGTCAGAAGACGACTCAGGATGAGAATCTGGTTTTGGGCAAGGTGTCGGGACATCCAATCACCGATCGCGTTCCACTCTTCGCAAAGTGCATTTACGCAAACGTCCGAACACAAACATGTCTTCCTCCATGTAATGGATCGTAAATCCCTCGGGGCGGATCCAGGCCAATTGCGAGTAGTTACTCCTGCGAGTAGTGAAACGCGTTTGTCCATCCAAGGGTCCACGATTGGGATCATTTGCGACGTCGGAGGTCTGGGATCAAGAGGGGTGATCAGCATGAATAGAATTGGGGTCCTGGAGGCAAGGGGTCCTGTAAGTCTTGTGGATGCCTTCGGGTTCTCTGGGCCCACCCCGGGATAATCAGGCCGCCAGGAGTCGGGCGGGTGGTGACGGGGGAATGGCCCAAATGGGGGGGTGAAGAAGGGCCGTTTTGAGGGCCCCTTTTGGGCTCCAGCTGGCTCCACAAGGGGCCCTAAAGGGCCCCTTTCGGCCCCTTTTCTTCACCCCCCAATTGTCAGGAGGGGAAAAAACACACTGACATAATTAATCGTCGATTCCCAGGAAAATATGGGAAAATATGGGAAGTGTGGGAAGACAAAAACCCAGAAAGTATGGGAAAATATGGAGAATATTTTTTATTAGTGTGTATTTATTTGTGTGTCCTGGGGCCCCTTGAAATTGGGCCACCCCTCATTACCATCCGCCCGAAAGCGTCGACTCGGGATGAAAAGCGGGTCCCTGGGAGGAGCCCCGGGGTCTGGGACCCGCTTGCACCAGGACCTCCTCCTTTCGTATATGTAGGCTGGCGGTTCAGAGATTCTCGGGGTGGCCCGTCACGCGGCAGCGACCTGGGCGAAGCACAATATTGCTGCAGCGGCAGCGACCTGGGCGATCCAGGTATGCACCGTCTTCGTCGTCGTCGTCGTCGTCGTCGTCATTGAGATGCGGTGCTGTTCTGTGCAGAACGTCTCCCAGCTGCAGCAGTGTCTGTACTCCATTCGTCATCCTGCATTGTCCCGCACGGGATGCGGACTGGGAGGCAGGTTGTGTTCACTGGCCCCTGGGCGATGCTCTAAAATCTCGATGGGCCCTCGCCCCGTCTCGGGCTTCAGGGGGTCGACCGGACATTTTCTTATGTTGTTGAACTCCCACTTCTTGTTCCCCTGGTTTTGTTTTGTCATTTGGAGTGCCTCTCCTTTCGCTCGCACCCTGTTTTTTGTCAGCGGACTTCTTGGGCCTCATAATGGGCTTTTGACCACCGAGCTACCACAACAATGGCTCCGGCCTAACGCCTCCCCACAATGCATTCAGAATCTCGCTTCCGCGCGGGACCTCTTCACAAGTTTTGCAGGAATCGCGCTCTCGCGTGTGACGTCCTCCCAAGGTACTCAGACACGCGCGAACAACGAAGAGCGAGCAGTCTTAATTCAACTGTTGTGTGTGTGTGTGTGGGTGTTTGTGTGTGTGTGTGTGCGCGTGTGTGTTCGTGTTGACGCTTCGCGTATCTCCCCCCGCCCATTCAGAAGCAGATCGCCAGGCGAGTTGCCTAGACCAGGGAAGTGTGCAAGAGTGTAGGTTAACAACCGCCTCGGAAGCGTTTTCTCGGATGTCTCTTGGAGCCATCTTGGGATTCTCTTGGGCTCGTCGGGGGGGTCTGGGACGCCTCTTGGGGCCATCTTGGCCCACATGATTCAAAAAGAGGGGGAGTAGGAAATTCAGGTCTCCTGGGAGGTTCAACAACGACGCCTTTAGGCCCTCTTGGGGCGCTCTTGGGCGCTCTTGGGACTTTCTTGTTGGGGCTCTCTTGGGCCGTCTTTGTCCATCTTGTCAAGAGCTTATCGGATCCGATAAGGCGAGAATGCGAAACACATTGTTTTTCCTTCGGTGAACGTCTTGGGGTCGTCTTGAGGCCTCTTAGATTTGTGTCGGAGGCTATCATGAAGCATCTTGAGGTATCTTGAGCCATCTAGGAGGCCATCTTGCGATCTAGGAGGCCCTTTTTGGGCCATCTTGGGCCATCTTGGATGCTCAAATCGCTCGGCCCCCCCCCCCTCCCAGGTCCGGGGGAGGGGAAAGGGGGAGGGGTTTACCCCTCCCCCGAGCAGGGGAAGGAGGGGCTGTTGGAAGATAGAAGGCGAAGTTCGTTAAACCACCTACGCCCAGAGGGCTGGTGTGATTTTCGTCGAATCTGCAAAACACATGCGGATCATTTTCGTGTCATTCCTCAGACCTCGCGACGCGAGTCTTTCAGAAGCCTCGGTGCCCAGAGGTCTCGACGCCTTCTCCGAGGCAGTCCTTCGCCTCGGAACACTTTTTTGGTTGCCCCGGATGACGAAAAACTGACGACGAACGCCGAATGTGTGGGCTCCGAGGACCTCCAGGGGCCGCTGCGTGCCGCCGAGGACCGCCGAGGATCTCCGGGGGCCGCCGAGGGCCGCCGAGGGCCGCCCCGCGCGGGCCCCGCGCGGGCCCCGCGCGGCGTACCGCGCGCGCCAGGCGGGGCGTCTCAAGCGCCACCGGCGTGAGCTGGCCTGCCGCCTGCTCAACAAGCACCGGCCCAGGGAGGCGGGCGCCGCCGCCGCTCCGCGCAGTCTGACCTCCGCCTCACTCCCCTCGTCCTCCTTATCCTCCTCCTTCTCCTCATCATTATCATCCTCATCATCATCACCACCATCATCATCATCATCAGCATCATCATCACCATCAGCATTATCATCACCATCACCATTACCATTACCATCAGCATCATAATCCGCATCAGCATCGGCATCAGCATCCGCAGCAGCATCATCATGATCATCATCATTGGCATCATCATTATCAGTAGCAGCAGCATCAACATCAGCATCATCAGCAGTATCAGCATCATCATCACCATCACCACTAGGATCGCCGTCTTCAACATCACAATCACCATCATCCTCATCATCATCATCATCATCATCATCATCATCATCATCATCATCATTATCATCGTTATCATCATCATCAGCATCATCACCATCGCCGTTATCGTCATCGTCATCGGTATCTTCATCAGGATCACAATCAACATTATAATCAGCATCAGCATCAGCATCAGTATCAGCATCAGCATCAGCATCATCATTAGCATCCGCAGCATCGTCAGCATCAGCATCATCAACATCGGCAGTCGCAGCATCCATATCAGCATCAACATCAGCATCAACATCATCAACAGCATCAGCATCATCATCACCATCATCAATCATCAACATCATCAGCATCATCAATCTCATCAGCATCAGCAGCGTCAGCATCAGCATTAACACCATCACCATCATCAGTCATTATCAGCATCAGCATCCGCAGCAGCATCAGCATCATCATCACCATCCGCAGCAGCATCATCATCATCATCACCATTATCATCACCACCCACCATCAGGATCATGATCATGATGATGAGGATCATCATCATCATCATCGTCATCGGCACCGTCATCATCGCCGTCATCATCATCATCATCATCATTCTCATCACCATCATCGTCATCATTCTCATCATCATCATCAGCAGCATCCGCATCAGCATCATCATCCGCATCCGCAGCAGCATCAACGTCAGGATCATCATCAGCATCATCAGCAACATCAGCCGCATGAACATCAGCATCATCATCATTATCAGCAGCATCGTCATCATCATCTCCAGCATCAGCAGCATCATCATCATCATCATCATCATCATCAGCACCATTAACATCATCATCAGCAGCAGCATCCGCAGCATCAGCACCGTCATCAGCATCATCACTAGCATCATTTTCCTCATCAGCAGCATCATCGCCAGCATCATCATCAGCAGCCTCAGCATCAACATCACCAGCAGCACACCATCATCACCATGATCTTCAACATCATCGTTATTCGTCATTGTCGGCATCACCGTCATAATCATCACCATCATTTTCCGCATCAGCATCATCATTATCACCATCACGGACATCGGCATCCGCATCCGCAGCATCATCATTATCACCAACATCACCATCATCATCACCACCAGCATCATCATTCTCGGTAGCATCACCATCATCATCAGCATCATCGTCATCAGCAGTACCATTATCTCCATCATCACCGGCATCATCATCATCAGCATCATCATCAGCATCGTCATCGTCACTATCATCGTTATCGTCATCATTATCATCATCAGCATCAGCATCACCGGTGATGCTGATGCGGATGCTGATGCGTCAGCATCCGCATCAGCATCACCGGCAGTAGCAGCATCATCATCAGCAGCACGACCATCATCATTATCAAAAGCATCAGCATCATCAGCAGCATCAGCATCATTACCAGCGTCGTTATTAACACAAGCATCATCATCATCAGCAGCCTCAACATCATCAGCAGCATCAGCATCAGCAGCATCCTTTATCAGCAGCATCATCACCAGCATCATCTTTTCATCATCATCATCAGCAGCATCAACATCAGCACCATCATCAGCGCAGCATTAGGAATTATCATCAGCAGCATCAGCATCTTTATCACCATCGTCATCAGCATGATCATCATCATCATCAGCATTATCGTCATCCTCATCATCGTCAGCATCGTCATCGTCACCATCATCACCATCATCAGAATCGTCATCACCACTTACCATCAGCATCACTACCATCAACATCAGCATTAGCATCAGCGTCAGCATCAGCATCAGCAGCATCAGCATCAACATCATCATTATCAGCAGCGGCAGCGTCACCATCATCATCAGCATCAGCATCAGTATCAGCATCATCATCACCATCGTCATCAGCATTACCATCATAAGCATCATCGTCATCGTCATCATCGCCGGTATCGTCATCGTCAGCATCAGCATCAGCATCTGCAGCAGCATCAACATCAGCATCAGCAGCATCATCATCAGCTTCATCATCAGCATCAGCATCAGCATCAGTTTCAGCAGCATCAGCATCAGCATCATCATTATCATCACTCAGCATCAGCATGATCATCAACATCATTATCATCACTCAGCATCATCATTAGCATCGGCATCAGCATCAGCATCAGCATCAGCATCAGCATCAGCATCAGCATCAGCATCAGCATCCGCAGCAGCAGCAACATCGGCATCCTTTTCATCATTATCAGTTGCAGCAGCATCAACATCAGCATCATAATCATCAGTCGCATCATCATCATCATCATCATCATCAGCATCATAAGCATCAGCAGCATCAGCAGCGTCAGCATCAGCTTTACCATCTTCATCAGCAATTTCACTACTATCATCTCTCTCATCAGCATCAGCATCAACATCAGCATCATCATCATCGTCATCTTCCTCGCCGCCGTCATCGTCATCATCTTCATCAACATCATCATCAGCATCAGCATCATTATCATCATCATCATGAGTGTCATTGTCAGCATCAGCATCAGCATCAGCATCAGCATTTGCATCAGCATCATCAGCAGTATCAACATCAGCATCATCGTTATCAGTAGCAGCAGCATCGATATCATCATCAGCAGCAGCAGCTCATCAGCATCAGCATCAGCGTCAGCATGTTTTTTTGCAGTAGCAGCAGCATCACCAGCATCATGATCAGCAGCATCAGCATCATTACCACCATCATCAGCATCATCATCAGCATCATCATGATACTCACTGTCATCTTCAACATCATCACCACCATCATCAGCATGAACATCATCATTACCATCATCATCATCATCATCATCGTCATCGTCATCGTCATCATCATCGTCTTCGTCATCATCATCATCATCATCATCAGCGTCATTATCAGCATCATCAACATCGGCATCATCATCATCATTTCCATCTTAATCATCATCAGCACCAGCTTCAGCACCACCATCATCATTTGCATTCGCATTGCTATCATCAGCAGTAGCATCATCATCATCATCATCATCACCATCATCATCATCATCATCACCATCACCACCACCACCACCATCATCATCATCATCATCATCATCATCATCATCATCATCATCGTCATCATCATCATCATCATCGTCACAACTATCATCATCATCAGCATTATGATCACTATCATCGCCATCATCACCGTCGTCATCATTATCATCATCATTATCATCATCATTCGCATCACCATCAGCAGCATCAGCAGCATCAGCATCTTTATCAGCATCATTGCCACCATCATCTCTCTCAGCACCATCAGCATCATCACCAGCATGATGCTGTTGGCGATCACTTGCCGCGTCGTGATGTTCATAACCCGCCCGTGGCTCGCTTCTCCTCGTGTGCGCTGGTTCGTGCGCCACTGGAGCCAGCGCGGGAGCACCGAGCGAGGAGCGGCAGCGGCAGGAGGGGGCGGTGGGGGGGAGGAGGGTAAAGGGGGGGGAGGGTCGAGGGGGAGGCAGGGTCGAGGGAGGATCGAGGGGGGAGGGGGGGGGAGGGGGGGAGGGGCGCAGGAGGTGGTGGTGGTGGTGTGGGGGAAGGAGGCACCTAGTTACATCGGCTGCGTCGTCTTGAAGGGCTTCGGTGGGCAAGCACGCGATGGCGCTAGCACGCATTCTGAGGATCGTCGAGAGGGGGAGCGGCAGCATCAAGATGAGGAGGACGATCCTTACTGGGCCGTGGTATCTCAACCCCACGGGGCCCTTCTCGTAGGGCTATCTGGGGCGAGGCCTCGCGACAGCCCGAAGGAACAGGCGCACCCCCACCAGGGTGGATAGCCAAGGCCACGCCAGTGGGCATAGGGATGGGTTGGACGACGCTGATCCGCCGTGGTTTTGGCCGGTTCCCTGAGCGCGTCCTCGCGTCCTTTTGTGGCCCTCTTTGCCCTTTCGGAGGCATCTTGAGCCGTCTCGAGGTCATCTTGGGCTGCCTTGGAGCCATCTTGTGCTGTCTTGGAGGCATATTGGGCCATGTTGGCGGCCTTAGTTGTCTGCCTGGGCCGTCCTTGAAGCAGAGGATGCGGATCAATCGTTCTTGAAAAGGGATCATGGCTTCGGCAGCGCGGACATAGGTTTCAGGGAGATATGCGCGCCTGTTTGTGACTGGAGGGGTTGATAGTTCCTTAGAAGAGGAGCACGCTTTGGGCATTCTGCCACGGCTAAGGGTGCCAGCGGGCACGGTGACAATTCAACGCCAAGAAGCATGATCATCATGTTGATTGTTGATGGAATGCCCAGCCAGAGCCCCACGATGACAAGGCGCCGCCCTCCACCCGTGTAATTTTTTGCGCTGCTTCGTATTCAAGTGGTGTACGCCTTTCCGCCGACCCCCAGAAGGAGTCAGAGCTTGCGACGATCGTGGAAGTTATCAAGTGGCCTTCGGTCAAACCCGACACTGCCAGGGCTGTGGGTCAGGAGCCTCTGAGACCAAATCTGGCGTGTCCCTCCACAGGAGGAATATCCAAACATAGTTAAAACCATAGTTTGGGGACGATTTTGTGAGTATTATTTTGATACTTGTTCATTGTTGAGCTTTTTTTTGTTTTTGATTTTTGTTTACATACATATATATATAGGTTTCAAACGAGAATCATAGATTTTCCTCCAAATGCCTGTAGGGGGACATGCCCGACCTAACTCTTGGATGCATATGAGGGTCTCTCAGGATGCCTCTCAGGGGTCTCTTGAGGGCTCTCGGAGCCTCTTCGGGGCTTCTTGGGGGCCTCTTGGGGGCGTCTTGGAGGCCTCTTGGGGCCTCTTGAGGGCGCCTCGGGGGCCTCTGGAGGGGGGCTCTTGGGGCCATCTTGGGGGGAACGGCTCGAAATATCTGTTCGTGTTTCCCCTCTTGGGCGCTTTTCGGGCCCTCTTGGGGCTGTCTTGGGCCGTCTTGGGGGCCCCTGTGGCTGTCTCGGGGCCCTCCTGGGCAGTCTTGGGGCCCTCTTGGGGGCCTCATCGGCCTTCTCGTGACGATATCCGGGTCCCTTGGGCAGTCTCAGAAGCTGCTGAGACGAAAAAAGCGAGTGTTCTAACCATATACGTTTTCAAATATGAGTGGGGCGACTTCTGCCTCTTGGGGCCTTCCCGGCGGTCCTCTTGGAACACTTTTCGGCCGTCTTGGGGGCCTTGTGGGTCGCCTTGAAGTCATTTTGGGTCGTCGTGGGGTACACTGGGCCGTCTCGACGCTCTCTTCGACTGTCTTGGCGCTCTGTCTGGGCCCTCTTGGGGCTTTTCGGAGGCCCTGGAGGCCCCAGGGTTGCGTTGGCGAGCTCGTGCCCCCTCCCTCAAACTGCATTTTGAACCCCAGGTGCGGGGAAAGGGGGAGGGGGACAGCCAAATGCCTCACACGCCTCCTCACCCCCAGCAAGAGGGGTCGGCGCATTTTCTTGTCGTGGAGCCGAGGAAGCCTTCATCGATATCCCCGTGTTAAAAGGGGCTGCCTCCATCCGTGAAGCTGCTGCACGATCACCAAGACCTTGCCATATTATTAGGGCAGGTGTTAGACGATAGCTACGCTTTGAAACGGACGCACCCTCCATCTGTGTAACTCGTGGAAGGTTTTAAGACGAGGTGTGCGCTGCGCCTAGGCGAGAGCCTCATTTGGAAAACTCATTTCTGTGTATTTCTAAGGCTAGTGTTCGCGGCTCGAAAGCACAACATGTTGAAGACCATTCAGCCTCCAGCCGTATAGCTTGTCGCAATTTCTAGATCGAAAGTGCGCGGCGGTAAGACGAGAGCAACATGTTGAAAACGATTCGCCAGACTCGTGTAGCTTTTGGGAGTTTCAATCGGGAAGGTCATGCTTTTGGCGGTCGTGTAGTCTCAAGCTGATCGTCTAGTCCGCCCTACCAACACATTCGCCGGTAGTGCGACGGGGAGTTGCCTGTAAGGGCAAGGGGTGGATGAGGAGGAGGAAGATGAGGAGGATGTCACAAAAGCGGCGTTGGTTTCGGCGGAATTCGTAGGCAGGCTATCAACGCCAGGCCTGCCAAGGTTCGGGTGCCGACGATCGCCAAGACTCTCCGCTCTCCTCTTCTTCTTTCTCCCGCTCGTCCCTTCTCCCACCTCCCTCCTTCAGACTCCCTCCTGCCTCCCCCACACGTCCCTCCCTCATTCTCCCTCCTCCGTCCCCCTCCTCGTTTCTGTTCTGGCTCCCCCTTCCCACTTCCTTTCTCCTCCGAGGCTGTACGCCTGCGTCGTGCCGAGTGTCAAACCAGGCACTACTTGTTTCTCGCTCCTCCCCCCCCGTTCATGCCCCTCTCCTTCTCCATCCTCATCCCGCTCCCCCTCCTGCCTTTCTCTCCACCCCCCTCCTGCCCCAACAAAGCCGCCCATCAAGCCTCGTCCGCCCTCGGCACTCCCCCCTACTCGTGCTCTGTGCTCCGCAGGTGCTGGAGTACTACCTCTGGATCTGGGAGCTCTGGCAGCCGCTGCGGCCGTACCTGGTGTGCGAGAAGCGCCTG